GCGGCGCTGCCGCTTTGCTCCGCGTTCTGCCGGCGAGGTCTGGGCGGTGCCTCACCCCCTCTCTGTTGCAGGTGCCGACCTGGAGGCCTCGCTGCTGAGTTTCGAGAAGCTGGACCGCGCCTCCCCGGATCTGTGGCCCGAGCAGTGTAAGTCCCGCGGGCCCCGGCCGGCTGTCAGCTGGGGGACGGGCGGGAGGTTGGGGTGCTGCCGGTAGAGGCGCTCATCCTCCGCTGCCCTCCGTTTTCTTTTTCCAGTGCCCGGGGTTGCCGAGTTCGCTGCCTCCTTCAAAAGCGTGAGTGGTCGCTGCTTTGTTTTTCGCGTTTCCCCTCTTCCTGCGTAGTGCTAGATCTGCTGTTTCCTCTTGTGGGCTTTACATCTGTGTTCTATAAAGCGTACCTCAATTATAGCTTTAGTATATGCTAGCATAAATCCTTTGTTTCTAATGTATTCTTTTATATATATATATATACACCTTATGCAGCTTACTGTGAATGAGAATTACAAGTTGGAGGAAATAAAAAGTTTTAAACTTTAGGAAACCCCATTTTTTATACCGACTTTGGGTTGTGGGTGGTAGTGTGTCATTTTTAACTAAAAAGTCCTGGGAAAGGTAGAAGACGAAGATTAAATGTAAAAATATCTCTACAGAGCACCCAGAATTAATATTTTGCTGTCAGTGTAACTAGTTTTCAATCCGAGATCAGACTTTTTTGTATAACTCTAGAAATGCACTTGTGTGAGTATGAACTTTTATTTTTTTCAAAACAGCCTATTACAAGTTCTCCTCCCAAGTGGATGGCTGAATTAGAAAATGATGATATTGATATGTTAAAGGGTGAGTATGGACATTATGGGTAGGAAGTAAGGTTGCCAAAGCAGATGGGAATTCAGCATGCAGTTAAATGGCTTAAAACACTTGTTCTTTAAATGTTCTGGAGGCAGCCCTGTGGCCTCCGATCTCTGGCCTTCACATTTGTAGAATCTCCAGCTCAGGAGTCTCTTTATCTTGTTAATGATACGCATTTTTCATTAATCTGGTTATCTCCAGGAGAATATCCAGATGTTAGTGGCAGGCTGATTTTTCAAAACAAGCATGCAAGAACTAGTTGAAGCAGTGTAATGTTACATCTATTTCAGTTACCTTGCTCATTAGTCTCTCACTGCTTAAGTATAGTGGGTGTGTCCTGTATTTTGAGAAGCGGCATGAATTTTTGGTGGGTCTCAGCTGATAGAACTTGGTGAGCAGCTTAGACTTGTTGACTAGCTTGTTCAGAGGTGCTCTATGCATGTGTCTTCACTCACAGATCCAAGATCTCTAGTTGAACAGTAGGGCTGTATGAACAAGTTACAGGAGGGCTAGTTAGCATGTAGATTTGCTGCATGTTACAGCTGTTAGTTTGCAGTAAACATCCTTGAGCATGCTCTGCCTCTCCTGTGAATTCCAGATAAACTGTTACAAAGTGAAAATGGCACAAATCAACTTTGCTGCAAGAAATGTTCTTAAGCACACATTATTAATATATAGTGAGTCCGTTCCCTCACGTGCTCTCTTGTAGCTTGTTTATGTAGCAATATGAACTTACAAGAACTTCCAAAATATGGGGCAAATTGCTTATTGCAGTGGCGGCAGATAACAGTATGAACCAGATCTGTGGCTGTCTCTTTCAGTAGAGAATGCTGGTCTTTTCTCAGTATTTTAAAATCAGGGGTGGCATTGGCTTGAATTTTGAACATACTCCGTTCCCTGGAAATGGACCTTGTTGGAAGTATGACTTGACAGTGCTCTGTGTAGTAGTAAACAGGTAAACTGTCACGAGAGGGCTATAGTGTTAAAATTCATGCTTTTCTCTCTTAGAGTTGGGGAGCCTCACTACAGCTAACTTGATGGAAAAAGTTCGTGGCCTGCAGAACCTGGCTTACCAGCTGGGACTGGATGAATGTAAGTGCTGTATACAGAGATGTGACTGACCGCATTGCAAATCTTCCCACTAAGGCATGTGTGCATGGTACATTTGTAGCTGGAAAAGCGTGTTAGTACATTTCAAGTGTCTGACAGTCACAGTTAGTAACCTTCCAAAACAGGATGAGCTTACGTCTCCAACTTACAACCTACCTGCATGAGGGAAACATCTTAGCAGAAGTAACAAGAGGTCATATGTCAGTCTGGTGTTGCCTAGTGGCACATAGACTTCTATTCCTGACTTAACTTTGCCTTAGATAAATCAGGTCACTTTGCTTAATTTACTAAGGCTATTTCTCAGAATGCTTGTAGCACTACTTCTGTCAAACTTTGTGCACTGCCTCCACAGTGGAACTCTCACTTGTGTGTAGGATTCTCCTATCACTTAGTGTTCATGCTGTTTTCTGCTTCTGTAGCTGCTATTTTTTTCTGCACTTGTGGCAGGAGGTGATGCCATTGAGTACTAAAGTTGACCTTCATCCCGCTTATAAACAGCCAATTTTTATCATTCTTTTGAAGAAGGAGCTGCTTTCATCAGCACGTTTAGGATGGTGTTGTTAACGGGTTGTTCCACTTCGAGGATTTCAAGAGTATTGTGTTTCTTTTAAATGCTACTTGTACATACTGATGCTTTTTTTTTTTTCTGCTTAATTTTGCTCTAGCATAGGCCTTAGTTGCAGTTACACTTGGGCTACACAAAGCACCAAAAGTTTTAGAACTTACTTTTACCTTCCTTTCACTGGATAACAAAAAGCTGTAATAGATCTTTACAGAGTCTTTCTAACTGTAAACCTAGGATATCCTAATGCTTTCTTATTAACAGATCATTAAGCCTATTTTAACACACTCTGTGCAAGTTTATTTTGCTTCCAGTGCTAACATCTGCTAAGATTGTGTAAAGCATTTAGTGGAGTAGAAGTTAAAAGTATAACAGTGTAAAACTGAGTCAAAACTTGGCTGATGATTGGCTTTCTCAGTTAAACTGTAAGCTTATATGTGAGACAGCTTTGTCATGCTAAATGGAGCTTAAGCAAAGCCTGAGTTACACTAAAGATAACAAGGTGGTTGTTTCCTCAGCAATGTTTGTTGCATGCATTTCCATTTATTTTTACTGAGAAGAAATAAATACGGAAAGAAGACAACAGTGAAATACCTGAGATCCAACAGTTATAACCTTTAGTCCATAGTAACTGAAATCTTGAATTTTCAAGCTTTATGAAAGCTCTCCATGTTTGTAACTTCTTATCACTGAAGTCAGTCTTTATTTAGGCTATAACACATTGAATGCTTTGTGTGTCACAATATACATTTATCTTAGGAAATTTTTTCACCAAAAATTAGATGCATAGAGTTTCTTGGGACTTATTTTCCTAATCCTGTTCTTAAGTTGTTTTCTCTTACAGACGTTATGTGAGAGAACAAGAAGAAAAATCCAAAAGACCTGTTCATTAAAGTTAAGGGACTGGGGGTTTTGGTCCAGAGGTGTTAGATTCGATTATATCTTTGTATATTGAAACTTACAGTCTCCTCTCTGACTGTTGATTGAAACTGGCTATCAAAACCAGGATTAAAACCGCTGCCGACCGGTCTCCTCTAGATGGCAGCATGAGGCTTCCCATAGAAGTCTTGCTGCTTTTTCATGAAACCGGACCCTATCTGTTGAGTGACTTGGTAGTTATGTTGTGAGGTCTGTTACTGAACCAGTTCACAGCACATTTCATATTAATTTTGCATTAGAGTTCATCAGGCAAAATGACATGTGGGACTGGGTACCTTTTGAAAAGTTTATTCGACTGCTTCAACAACTAAAATTGAAATCTGAACAATTGATTTGACGTGATGTAGTTTGATACATTAATAATTACTGAATTACATGCGTTGTTTCTTAAATTCATCTGAACTGTCTTACTATTTTGTCTGTATGAGTGGGCTATCTTGACAAATTTGGAGCAAATGTGTTGAATGAGTTGTCCATCTTTGCTGCTTTCATCTAGGAATGGTTGAATACTATTATCTGGATTCCATATTCTTATATATAATTCCTGATGTCTCTAAATTTTTGGCCATGGATTTCTCAGTTCCTCCTTTGGTTGCTCACTTCTCAGAGATATATGTTCTTTATAACTAACTTTCTCCCCTCTTTTTTCCCCATAGGGTTGCCTTTACTTTCCGTAACCCTATTTTGTTGAATGCCGCATGGCTTCTGTGAATCAAAAGAAATTGTTAATATAAAATTTACATTTTCTTTCCAGCTTGTTTGACATCTGGTTTGATTTACAGTTGTCCTCTGCTTTTAAAAGTATCCAGTTTTACAGTCACTGCTACTTCACTGGTCTGCACTTTAAGCTGCATATTCTTATGTCATATAATCATTTCAATTAGTTCAGAGTTCTGTGAAAGTTGTTGTTTTTTTTTTTTATTGGATAAAACTGAGTAGACTTGACCTGCTTGGATTGTAACAGTAAGTTCACAAAACAGTTGACTAGAAGCTTCAGAGGTGACTTTTACTGTTAGAGTACTGTCTGAGATACCATGAATGTCATTCAGGCTGCAATAATGCTAACAGAGTTTCCCCTGATAGTTTACATGGGCATCTGAGGAGTCAGGCTTCTTACCCTCTGTTATGATTTCCAAGCATATAGCACATACTTGTTTAGACTGTAATAACTTTATCTGATAGTGCATCAGTCTCTTGAGTGTGTGGCATGATAATGCCAAAGGAGACCTTTGATAACTGAAAATGGTAATACTATTTTTGATAATGCTGGTTTCCTCCTCCTTGTCTGAGGGTTCAGTTACTTCTACCTGAGTAAGGTAACTGGTGATCTGTCCAGCCATGTATCTGATTCTTCTAGCTTCAGTAGTACCTAATACATTAAATTCCTGCTCAGACAAGATAAGTTGGTTATTTTTGGTGGCGTTTTACCTTTTAAAAAGACTTCTGTTTGGCAAATATTTTGCACCCTTGTAATTTTTTTTAATGAAATGAGTAAGTGAGCACATTGCTTTTTAAAAAAAGAAATATTTCTGACTTCTGGCTGTGTGATCTCTTGTACTTTCATTTCCCTTTTACTAAGGTGCAGGCCATTAAACTGCCAGTAGAAGATGGGTTATCTTCCTTTAATCAGAATTTCTTATTTGCGCCATTTAATTTGCTGATAATTTATGTTGAAGATCTTTCTTGTGGATCAAAAAGGATCTCCAAGGTGATCTTGTAGAATCTGTTCTTCAGCTTTCCTCCTAGCATGCTAGTAGGTGGATTCTTGCTCACTCATGTCTGTTAGTTGCAGAATATTCTTCACTTCGTTAGCACAGAATTCACCTAAAGGATAACCTTCCTTGAATGAAGCAGGATTTTTTGTAGCATGAACCAATGATTAATTTCTAAATTTTTATTCTCCTCCTAAAGGATAGGCTATCCTTGGGTCTCTGGTTCGTGTATTTGTTCTTTGCTACAAGGTGGTTCTGGAGTTCTCCAGAAGGTTCCAAGCTCAGGACCTGGTATCAATAATAATAAAATCTCTTAAAAATAAATTATTTTTCAACACCTTTTCTGAGGTCGCAGCCTGTATTTCCCTACCTCCTTTTTAAGCTATGTAAAATTCTACCTCGTCCTCTTGCTTGTTACTGCTTTTCTCTTTGTGCTTCAGCTCTCTCATTAGAGCTTCTATTTTCCTTCTATTGAGTTATTTTATTGGTTAGAACACACTGAAACCATTTTTATGTGTGGATTTTGCTGTCCCTGTTAATGTGGATATTGTAAGGGTGGGAGGACGAACAGGGCCCGATGAACACACATACTTTTAATTGTTCTCGTAGTTAGGTTGACTTTGGGAGGCATAGTATCACTGCTGAACGTTAGCTGCAGCCAGTCTCATCTCTGCTGTTGGTAGAAGTCTGGCAAAAAAATTACAGGCATACTGCCTTGTTATGGGCTTTTCCCCACTGCTGTGTCCCTCCAGCTTTGCTTGGAGCAGGGTAGTGAGCACCACAGAATGACGAGACCCCAGCTAATGTGGCAAGCAAGAGGGAGGTAGTTCTTAATCTGGGAACCCAGTCACAGATCCTGACTCAATATTTGTGGCCCACAAAGCAGCAAGTTTCAAACAATTTGTGTAAATAACTGCAAATTTAGATACATAGCTGGTTTTCCCTTATGTGGCCTATTACAGCTCTGGGAAGTGCACACATTTCTAGTAAGCAAACTTAACTTGGTGTTAAGATATTTTTATTATTATTTATTGCAGTTATTTTTAAAGATCTGCTCTGTCATCCTTTTGAATATAGGCATATGGAGATGTGTATCTGAGAACTACATACACAGAGCAAAATATGTTTTTCCTAAAAAAAATTAAAAGGTAAAAGTAGTTTTTTTTCTAAACATTGGAACAAACCAATGGTAAAAGTAACAGATAGGTAAGAATGGGAAGCAGGAAAGCTTCATGTCACTGAAGGAATGTGGTTGTTCAGGGACTTTCTGAAGGCCCTGCTATTGCTTCCCTGTGAATCTGACATTTTTCAGATAACACCTGCTATACTGATTCAGAAGTCCTAAAATGTGTGTGTGTGTGTATGTGTGTGTATATATATATATATATATATATATATATATACACACACACACACCCACCTGGTATCACAGCCATGTTTATAAAATCTGATTTCAGAGAGGTTATCTGGCTGCTATGCTATCGCATTACAACTTCAGTGATATCACTACTGCAAGACTTCCTGAAAAGTGTATTCTTTTTAAGTCCTAATGTTTGTGGAGGTAGTAGTGCTTTTGTGTAGTATTGGCATTAAATATTAGAAAATGTGGGATAACTGAACCCACAGATGTGAATACCATTTATAATTTCCCTATCAATGATTTTTCCTAGTGTTCTCTCATGTTAAATTTTACTTTGGAGTTGAAGCTGTTTTGCGCTTTGCCTCCTGTAAAATTAGGAGTGTGAATAACTGTATTATCTCATGTCAAA